AGGAACGCAGAGTTGGATCTTTATCTGCCAATCCCGCGCTCAAAGTTAGTTAAAAGTTCAATACTTTATAATGCTAAAAAGATGCATAATCATCTACCGCCTAACATCAGGTCCATTGCATCTTTTCTCGAATTTCGCAGGGCGTTGAAGGTGTATTTACTGGGGAGAGCCTTGTACACAGTAAGCGAGTTGTTTATGGTTTCCTAATTCTAAATTTTGAGCAGCTTACTCACAGGTTTTGTTTTTGTTCCTGTATCATGATAGGTTATTATAAGTTATTGTTTGTTTGTTTTTTTAGTACCTATAATATGCTTACTCGCACAGTATAAGCAGTTAGACCTAGATGTTTGTTTATTAGTTTTAATCAAATTTTGACCATGAACTATTTGTTCAAGTGTTTGGTTTTGTCTGTGCTTTTGCATTTGTATGTTTTGTTTTTTATTTTTTCAGCTTTGTCCACAAAATTGTAAAATTTTCTGACAATAAAGCAAATTCTTTCTTTCTTTCTTGCACTTAAAATGTCCTTTGGAAGGTTTTCCTTTGTATCAGATTTGATAAAGACTAGTCCTAAAATTACTGTGTTTTTTAAATATTTCAGGGCATTTTTAAGTTCTTTCCAATGTTTATGCTCGTAACAATTTTGAAATTTACTAAAATATGTGATTGCAAAACTAATGTCCGGTCTTGATCCTAACATTAAGTACATTAGCGAACCTATTGACCTATTGACCTGTAAGGTACACTTTCCAAATTTAAATTATAAATTTTACTTTCATTCCTTTTCAGATTAATTTTTGGTTGCACAGGAATTTTTGAAGGCTTACAATCATTCATTTCAAAATCATTCGAAATTTTACAAATCAAATCCTTCTGGTGAATTATAATACTGTCATTATTTAGAATAATATTCAATCCCAAAAACTTCAAATTTTTGCTATCAGACAAATTTTGCATTTCAAATTTTTTCATTAGATTTATCTTAATATTTTTTATGTCTTTGTGAAACCTTGAAACAATAATAAGATCGTCTACATGCACAAGAAGATAAGTTGAATTTTTAAAATAAAGGCATGGATCACTTTTTGATCTTTGAAATTCTCTTTCTAACATAAAATCGTTAAATTTCTCGTATCAACATTTGGGAGATTGTCTTAAACCATAAAGAGCTTTTTCCAATTTACAAACAAAATTTTTATTATTCACATTCAGTCCTAGTGGTACCTGCATGAAAACTGGGTGTTTCAATGTATCATTTAAAAAAGCACTTTTGACATCCAGTTGGTGTATTTCCGTATTTTCTTCCAGACTTGGGGCCAGTAATATTCTCACAGTCATCATTCTGGCGACTGGAGCGTAGACTTCTTCTTCCAGATTAGATAATTGATAGCCTCTGGCTACCAATGTAGCTTTTTTCACTTTTTCAATGCCGTTTTCACTTAGGATTTCTTTTTCTCGAAAAATCTATTTCGAATCAATGATTTTTCCACTTCCGGGTACCGCACTTTTTGGCACTAAAGTCCATGTTTTATTTTTGTCCAGAGCACTTAATTCTTTGTCTATTACTTCTTTCCACTCTTTATTGGTATTTATTGCTTGTTCATATGATTTGGGTACTTCTGGTGATAAATCTTGTATTAATAATTTCAAATTCTTCTTCATCGATCAATGTTTCATTCTTCGTTTGTTCTAGTTGGATATTTTTGTATTTGGGATTTTAATCAAAGATAACGTTTCTTCCAATACATATTTTGACTTTGTCTGCGTCCCAGAGACGGTATCCATTGTCAGTATGTCCGACTAATATCATTTCCTTGCTTCTTGGATCCAATTTGTTGCTTCTTTCCTCTTTTGGTATATGAAGATGTGGATTACAGCCGAAAACTCTCATTTTTTCCAAATTTGGTTTTTGACTAAACCAAATTTCTGCAGGTGTTTTTGAATCTATAATTACAGAAGTTTCAGTGCTATTGAGTAAATAAATAGCTGTCCCTACAGCATCTTCCCAAAATTCTTTTGGTAAATCTGCGTCGAATATTAGACATCTAGCTTTTCCCATAATAGTTCTGTTTAACCTCTCAGCAACACCATTTTGTTGCGGTGTGTGTTTTACAGTGTTTTGTATATGAATACCTTTTTGACTACAGAAATGTTCAAATTCGTGGGAAACATACTCTCCGCCATTATCACACCTGAGTCGAATAATTCCTGAATTAAATTTATTTTCTACCATAGGAACATATATTTTAAATTTTTCAAAGACTTCACTTTTGTGGCTTAGAAAATAACAAGCTGCAAAATGTGAAAAATGATCCAAAAAGGTAACAAAGTATCGCTTACCATGATTTGATACTGGTGTAATAGGACCACATACGTCTGTTGATAGCACTTCTAATAGTTTCTTTGCTTTTCTGTATTCTTCCAATAATTTGTATGGAGCTTGTGTTTGTTTTCCCTTCAGGCAAACTTCACAAATTGATTTTAAAGGATATTTTGATGAAGGCCCCATTCTACGGTGCCATAGTTCCGAATCATTTTCTGAAATCATATTTAGCATTGCTTTTTGCATTGTACATGTCAAAGAATACAAATTTCCTGTAAGATTTCCTTTCAATAAATTTTCATTTCCTTTCCTGATTTGTACTTCATTATCTTTAAATATTACATACAGACCTTTTTCTTCTACCTTTTTAACTGAGAGTAAATTATGCGTTAAATTTTTGCATAGTAAAACTTTTTCTAGCTTAAAATTTCTACCATTATTTTCCAAGTGCAAAGTTCCCTCTTTACAAGCTTCAACAGCTTCACCTTCCTTTGCTACTTGTATTCTGTGATTAACTACTTTCACATCAGTTAAATACTTTTCCATGTCTGTAATTACCAAGTGGTTTGTTGCTCCACTATCAACAATGAATTTTTACTATGGTTGAATGTGCTGTCAAGACTGTATCTTCACTATTTCCAGTGGTTAAAAAGGCTATTTCATTTTTTTCTATTAAGTGGCATTGATTACGAGGATTATTAGATGAATTGCCCGATGAATTGTTGGATGAATTGTTATTTCCGAAGGTATTTCTGTATCTGCATTCTGATCTTTTGTGCCCTTTTTTCCACAATTGTAACAATTGAATGGAAAATCATTGGTTCTGTTCATATTTAAAGATACATTTCTATTTCCGCTAGTATTTCTTCAGTAGGTATAGTTTCCTCTAAAATTTCTTCTTCCTCTATTTGATCTAAAGTTTCTTTGATTTCCAATAAATTTCTGTGGACTTTCTTCCTTTTGATTTCGGTTTCTTTGCTGCCTTTCCTCTTCCATAAGCAATAATTTATTTTTGACTACGTCCAGTGAAATACTTGAAGTAGATTGACAATACAAAATATCAATGGCAGTTACTACTGAGTTAAAGTCTGTTTTTTTTTTTAAAGATAAAAGTCAAAATGACATTATGTTGGCAATACAATGTAAAATTGTCAATGTTTTCAAATTTTTTATGTAGAAAAGGCTTGTGTTGCCAACATAGTTACTAAATTTTTGACTTGGGGAATTAATTATCTTTAAATAAAAAACAAACTTTATATGACGGTGGCATAGCTGCTAGAAGTTGACTTCAGTTTCTTGAATATTTCCTTCGCTATTTCTAATTTCCAAAACGGTCTTTTCAAAATCTATTATAAACAATTGCAACGATTCCTTTTCAGCAAATTTCAGATTTCTTAGTTTACTTTGTACATGTACTAAATAAGCAATACCTTTCTTTATATATGTACCCCTACTACCCCTTAACTCATTCATAATTTCTTTTGCAGAGACTTTTCCTTTTATCATTTCTAGTATATTGTCAGACAAACATTGTACTATTACATTTCTAGCTTTGATATCCTTTCTTTTAAAATCAGCAATTACCTTTGCATCTTCTGTTGCAGCTGGAGGATCCTTTTCGAGCACATCCAATACCTCATAGTGTTCCAGCAACAATTTGATGCGAAATTCCCAATTTTCATATCCTGATCCATCAAAAGGTTTTACACTTAATGTTGCTGTTGCAGTTGCCATTGTCTTTCACTAATTACTTTCACGAATTTCCAGAATTTCCTATTCCAAAAAAAAACTTTATAACTTCCACCTAACCTCAAAGTTTTGGCTAAGTGTTTTTGTTATTTTTTCCTTTTATTCGTTATATTCCACCCTTTCCGATACTGGGCCCATAACCTGTTAACTTCCCGAATAAATGAAACAACAATTTGCACTACTACGTAAAGTTTTTAATGATAAAAATGAAAAATTACTTTTTAATTAATTTTAGCAACACACTTTCGCGTTTTTTCTTGACACACTTTCTGTATCAACTTTTGACAAAAGAAATTACAAAAATGACATTACATGAACAACAGATGCTGGCTTCAACTACGGATTGCTTTCCATATATCTGAATTGTACTACTCTAATCTCTCCAATCAACAGAGTCGCCTCTGATATAGAAATACAGTGCTTTCATCTCTAAAACTGTCAAAACTGTATTTTGTTATATCCACTGTGTTCGTGAGTACGGCATTGGTGTTTTGTTTCTCTGAGTTCTTGTTCATTTTCCTAAATTGCAACTTTATTTTGGATATTACTAAATAATGATCTGAAGATGATGTCCCTGTCCAAAATAACTATTTATAAGATACAATTATGTATATTATGAAAATATCAGTAGCATACTTCTGGGTCACTCGAACAAACCTGACCCAAACTCATCCAAATGTATCAAATACGTAAATTATGTACTTTCCTATCTGTACCTTTACATAGCACAAAAAAAAGTAAATTGCTTTTGACAGCAGAGAACAAAAAAAAAAAGAAGTAATACTTTTCAAAAGGGCACCGCCGCGCTTTTAAATCGTCTCTAATGAGGACCGATCGAGAAGAGCTCCCGCCTTTGATCTGGAAACGATCTATACGGGGGCCTTCCTTTTTATCCGTGTTTCTTTGCAATAAAATTTTGAATATATTACAGATGGTACTCGTACGGAGGCAAAGACGGAACCGAGCCGCCCAGCTTAATTATACCTGGTGCCAGAATGAGACAGCTGGGACCCGTGCTAGCAATTGAAGCTGTAACATCGGAAGACGGTAAAAATATTTCATTAAAATTTCACACAATCCGCGTTACTTTTATACAGAGAGCTTTTTTCCTCTCTACGTTCAATCACTCACCTTTGATTTCTTTCGAGTGCCTGATTGGACGCGCTTTGTTACTGTGTGATCGATTACGGAGTATGAATGTTGCCTGGAAGGTCCTTTATGAGACTGTGAAAAACCATTTTCTATGAAAAATATCAGGGAAATAGAATCTGTGCCATTATACTTTTGTTTTCCTGGGGATTTTTCGTTAGGAAACCGTCACTCAATTTAAAATACATTCGTGATAAAACCTGCATTGAAATTATCGATGTTTTTATCTGGCGTACGAATTTGATGATAAATCTTAGAATAAATCATTTCCTTCACTAAATTACACCGTCCAAATTATGGTAATATTGTGTATTAAAGGAATTACCTCCGACGCATAAATGAGCCGCTGCGTGCTCCGTTTCACAATTACATCCTTCTGCCGCCCGCCAATTCGAAAGGAACATTTACCAAAACGAAAACGTCGATAATTATTCCATTTTGAAACAGCCGAAATATCTTTTTTCTTTCTTATTCCAATCTTGGAATATTTAATTAAAAATTATTACGCTGCCGTTATTCCAGTTTGCATTTTTGTAAAGGAATTCACACCCCAGGAAAAAAAATCTCTTTGTGCTTAGAGCGTCAATACTACCCATGCCCGAAAGATTTTCTCTTTCATGCTTTACAGGAAAAGAAAATCCTTTTGGCGCGGCTATATGAAACAAATGTGAGTCTTGAAAGCTTTAACATTTTCGTTCTTTTAAATCCTCGACACGGTAGATTTTTTCTGTTTCAATGGAGACTTTTGAAAAACATATTTTTCCTAATTTATAGGTGGTACCTACCGATGTACATCGGCTAACGCTGGTGGAGAAGCCAGCGCAGATATTCGGTTGCAAATCCAAACTCAGCTGCATGTTGAAATTTCGCCGCCCATACTCAGCGTCCATATGGGAGGAAGTGCTGAATTTAGGTAACTATAATTATATTGTCACAGATTTCGGGATCACTAACTCAAACAGTTCACTTATCGACAAATATCGAATTCAAACCTATTACACGATCTATTTATATAGTACTCGGAATTTAGCTAGAAAAACATCGAATCGAATATAATAGAATTCCAGGAATCCTCGCAAACAAGTAGGTACCTAATTTCTTGGAATCCCGGCTGTGGATTGTCGATACATTTTCGTAACACTGCCCCCTTCCTAAATCAGATCATCCCGATTTGACCATTTATTCTCGTGATAAGCCTTTAACCTGCCTGGATGTATGATGTGCCACCTTCATCTTACCCTTATATTGAGGCCGCTGTGGTACCCCAGTTTCAGAAACTTGACAAGATGTTAAATTGGCGAGCGGTGACTATAGTTTCTGAGTCGAGACACAGTTTAAAGTTAGTCCTATTTGCGGGTGGAGAGTAAAACACGGAAATATTGTGGTCAATTAAAATAAAGTTTATTTTATTAAAATAAATAATGCTTGTTATTAAATGACAGGCGTCGGTAATAAATAATCTTACAATAAAATTATTCAATCTCTAATAAGCATTAATTAACTGCTAAGGAAAATTTATATGATTCCAAGTAAAATTTTAGTTTACAGTTTGACTCGACTCACACTCTTGCCTTCACAATTTCTGGCTGAACATAAAAAACTCTACTTACATTTAAAAATAATATATTTACTGCTGGCCACACCTAATTACATGAAAATCTTATTGGTCGAAGAAATTTACTTTAATTATGAACAATTAATAAAAAACTCGAATATTTTCGCGCTGTTATTTCACGTCGTGCTTCTTTCTTCTCTCGGTTAATTTGACAACTCTTTCACGCCGTAGTTCTGACTTTCTGGACACAGGTCTCTCGATTCTCGATTACTACTTGTTTCTTGATTACTCAACCGATACTGGTCTTGTCTTTCACGCTTCACGCCGTAGTTCTGCCCGCTTACTCGCTCTTTCTCTAACACTGATTTTCTCCTGCCAAAGTTGCCTTTTTATATCATTGGTCCCTCCATTGTCTTGAATTTCTTTATTTTTTCTAAACTCGATTTTTCGTGGTTGAATCATCCGATCAATTAGTGTATTTGGTCCCCTTATAATTAATTATCAAGGGCGTCGCTAAGTGGTTTCTTAAGTGACTATCATCATATAGGCTCGTGCATGATTTATTGGTCCTTTTAGAAATTTTTTGGCTACTTTGGAATGTTAATTGTTGAAAGCACATAAAAAAAAAGATCCATGAACTTTTGCTTTATTCACACACATGTATTAGTCAATATAGGGTATCGGCTTTCAATAATTTCTGGATATCGATGTTCAGATAAATTTTAATTGAAGTTTCTGGTTGTGCTGTCTAAGTGATGATCTCTCCTGGGATGGTTGTTTGGTAAGTCCTTGTTATTTTTGATTCAAATTTCTGTAGTCACTACACCGCGTCAGATTCGATACACCATGTCGTTCAATCTCTACATGATCGTGTACAGGCCTTCCCACTGGGATGAGAATCGCAGAAAATTTCAGCTTTCTATCTATAATAGAAAAAAGTTATGGGTCTTCAAAGTTTTTAAAAATCCAAATCATAAGGGAGCTAACTTAGTACAAAAATGATGAAATTTCAAATTTTTTTATATTGAGATTTTACGTTTATATGATCATTGTACCCTCCAAACTGCATACACTAAAGCCTTTCTTGACTTCCTTTTAGAGTTATAGAGCCAAACTTTGTCATTCGCTTGGAAACCTGTAGAGACTCAAGGTCATATCTGGTTTTCATTCGATCACTTGCAAATTCTGTCCTTTCTCTAACTCCGTCATGGATGTAAAGCAGTCTTTTTCGCAGGTCGTCAGCATAGTCCTCGGCTTCCAATAGTGGTGAACCGGACACCAAGTCACAGGGTAAACGATGCTCTCTTCCAAACAAAACTTTGGCTGGTGTAATTCCTGTTGTGTTATGTGTGCCATCAGAAATAGAGGTATATGCTCATCACAAGCATCTTGATGCTGGTCAACTATTTTGGAGAGATGGTCCTCAATTGTCTTGTTGAATCAGTCATACCATCTGATTGTGGAGGCAATTTCGTGGTTCTGGTCTTGTGAATGCCTAACAGTTTTTGAAATATTCGTGACTTGATCCGAATGAAGTTCTAATAAGATTTCAAACCTAGTAAAAACATTATTGACGAGGATTTTTGCAACAGTGTGCTTCTTGATTTGGAATAACGAAAACTTCTGGCCACTTGCTGAAATAATCCATTGCAACTAAGATGTATTTGTTGCCACTGATGGTCAACTAGGTCTATTGCCATTTGTTCGATAGGCATCCCCACCTTGTACTACTTCATTTGTCCCTTAGGTCATGTATTGGGTCCTTGACTTGTTGCGGATGTCGCACATTGTCGGCACCATGTCTTGACATCCTGGTAATATTACACCCAATAGAATTTGTCACGGATCTTGTCCAAGGTCTTGTTGACTTCCAAAGTGATCTCCGAGTGTCCCATAGTGAACTTCTACTAAAACTTGAACAACTTTTGCCCTAGACACGACCAATTGTCATTTTGCCATCTCCACTTTCCCAGGTTCGTTTCAGTAAACCATTGAGTCCACAGCGCCTTGATGTCACTATTTTGTAATTCATTACTTCTTAACTGTTCGGAACACCATACTTTCCACGTAAATTCTCGTAGTACGATTTCCATCAACCTCTGAAAAGTACTGGGGGCGTTACAGAGTCCAAAAGGCATCACCTTGAAATGATGAAGACCCCTTCCAGTGGAGAATGCTGTCTTCTCTTTGTCTTTTTCGTCAATACCCAGATTGCAATATCCACTTTTAAAGTCCAAAGTAGAAAACCAATTTGAGTCAATTGCCAATGTCGTCAGGGTATCGTCAATTTTGGGTAAGGGGTAGCTGTCTTTGGTCTTTTTCTTTTTGTTTTTCTGCCTGTCTTCGATCATCTTCTTCATCTAATTTCTTGGAATCCCGGCGCCTGATTGTTGATGCGTTTTCGTAACAATATGTAGCTATTTATTGATGGTGACATTTTAACACAAATTAAATTTGTTGTTGACAACATCACCAGCTTATTAACATTCGGTCAAGTTGTTCTTTATTCTCTGAGTCAAAATCTCGATTATCCTGCTGTCGCGCCGATTATAGGTTCATCGTTCAAAAACAGTTCATAGATCTTCGATTCTATATCGATCGTTTAATAGTCGTACTATTACAATGTAACGTCCCTTATATTTGGGAACGAGTTTTCAAGAACCTACAGAAACAACAGATGATTCTTTCTTTATCATCACAAGATCTTCTAAGTGAGGGTAACAAAACATCAAAATACTTTATCGTGATTGTATTAAAATGTCATTAATATTTCCAATTCTTGCCATAGATGTATGGTCTCAACGAAACAAGACAGTCCGCACATGATCACATGGTATAAAGACGGCAGACAACTGCCCAGCACTGGAAGAGGTCCTAGCGAAACTCTAATAGTAAATAATGTGGGCAGAGAAGATAGAGGCATGTATCAATGCGTGGTGAGAAGGACAGAAGGGGATACTGCACAAGCATCGGCGGAATTACAATTAGGAGGTAAGTTTGCATACAAATGCTTTTAAACAATAAAACTTTAATCGTAAGTCTTGGCATTAAAATCACGGAGTTTCCTTTCTCGTTATTCGCCGGCTTTAGTATCAAAAGTTGCAAGCTGATGCTGCATTTCAATTTGTTTCCACACTGAATAATTAACATATTTCGCTTATAGATGCTCCTCCTGTGTTGCTCTATAGTTTTATCGAGCAAACTCTCCAACCCGGACCTGCGGTGTCTTTGAAATGTAGCGCCTCTGGTAATCCCACTCCTCAAATATCCTGGTTATTGGATGGATTTCCTCTTCCTAGCCATGGACGGTAAGTTACAATAATTGTCTAATAAAAAGTTATGAACAGCCCGGGGAGGTCTAATGAAGACAAACCAATGAACATAAAAAAAGAAATATTCTCTGTACCATTAAGGGGTTAATTTTGAGAACCAGCGGGCGAGAATCATTTGTATCCATTTAACGGGATGGCGTCAAATAAAACAGGAGCCAGGCTCCATACGTTGTCGGTGATTATAGGCATTTTTCTGTTTCGAGAAAAGGTATTTGGTTTCGAGAGGGCACCTCAAATTAGGTTTAGAAACGTAATGGAAGCGATTTTCTTCATATACGTAGAGGATTTACCGACTAGAAAAAAGAATTATTGTTATATATTTTCATTAGAGAAAAGCTCTTGGATTTTGCCTATTGCCAACTAGAGCTGAAAACCTAAATATATAGGGTTTTGTTGACTATTTCCCTTTCTTGCCAAATTTTATCTAATTTAGCACCATAAGCTAGGACCTTGCGACAACAATAACCAGTAAAATAGGGAGGTCATTAAAAAGCGTCCGCATCAGGCAGAAAGCACGTTAAAAGGATAGAAGCAAGTATCCGTAATATCCATGCTGGTGTGGTGTTTCCACTCTTGAGGGAAGTTGTATTTTACGGCTAGGGTTGTAAATGGGGAAAGGTCGCGCAACGTTGATACGGAATATGGGTTTGACCTCTGGAAATATAGAGTTCTGTATGATTATAATTAACAAAAACCATTGCACAAATTTCTGGTTTAAACATCAACCCCATCATAACCGATAATAATAATTGAAAAAAGGAGCAACGAACAGAAAGTCACGGGGTGAACAATTTGCAATTTAAACTTGTGACGTAATTTTAATTACCGATGGTTGCGCCGATCGTCAACTACTGTTTCGAATTTCCCATTCCGCCATCGATTTCCAGAACCAGCAGAGCAGCATCTAGCCAGCCGGGACGAGTCGCATGGATGCTCCGATTAAATGCAACTATCTGTTGTTTAACTGCAAATGGGAATTTGTGTGTGACTGTTTAATAAATGGTAATTCTAATTAAAGGCCGAAGGGTAAAATATTGGAGATCTCTCTCGGGATTGAGTTTCGGATGCGGTGAAACTCCACTTCGGATTTCAGGGGGCGAATTGAAATTTAGAGGATCGTGTTGCATTGCATTGGCTTAAAGTTTCTTGAAATTGATGGAGCTTAACTAGACAATATGGTTTTGGAGTTTGGAATTTATCGCCAAACGTTTCTTCATGAAAAATCCATAACAAAGTGGATTCTGTTTGATGTATTTTAATCCCTTGGACGCAGAGTCGAGTGCTCTTACTCTTTTGATTTTTGCTTGAAGTATATTTGTCTGGAGTCCATTGAAATGATATATCAGACATAAAAGTTTTCTAAGGATCCTCAACTGAGTACTAATTGAAGGATCTTCGCATCCATTCTCTAAATTTATGATTAAAGTAGGTACTCATGTACCATAATCAAACATCTTGAACATTTTTGAAAAAGAACAGTAGGTAATGAATCGAGCACTTTGATCATTTTCCATTAAAAATTTAAATTATCTTTCAATAAAATGAATCTAATTTATCCTGACGGTGTCCGCCCATCTTATCCTGTAACGGTTCGTTTTACGCTCTGTTTGTCCTGCACCTCTCTGATTTTTTTTGTCGCCTGGTGACCCGAGCCAGGCGATTCATTAGGCTATCAGGCCAGCTGAGAGAACATCCGGCTAGTGTCCTATTAGGGTCCGAATTTCGCGCTTGGCTGTACACTTTTTGCCTCCCTTAACAACTGGGGCGGGTCCGGTTTACACAGTTTCGCTGTTTTAACTGTTTTTTTGCTCGTCTATTTTCGACCTTCCTATGTGGTCCAACTTCAGTAGCGTACGTCTTGTTCATAATATGCCAATATCAATTGTTCATCTAATTATTAATATTTTGCCATAACGCCCATAACTAGGATAACCTACTTTTCAAAGTACACTATGTCAATTCAAATATTGGTCATTACCGGTAAGTACTTGATTGGCAGTTTCTAATTTTCACCATGAGAACCCATAAAACTTGCCATGATTCAGTGATTCGTTCACAACGTGACTTATTCTAGAAAAACTTGAATCATTATCAAAGTTTCCGACAATCTGACATCCTGACTCTTTTTCTAGCAATCTACATGTCCTTTTTTGAAGAATTCTCAATAACCCTAATGATAACCATTTAACTCGAAATATTTCTGTCCAGGTTTGTGATTGGTCAATACGTAACCGTTCACGGCGACGTGATAAGTCATGTGAACATCAGCCATGTGATGGTAGAAGACGGTGGAGAGTACACGTGCACAGCGGAAAATAGAGCTGGCAAAAGCTCGCATTCGGCCAGATTGAATGTTTACGGTAAGCCATTAAATTTTTGACTTAAATCACGTGAGCGGAAACTCAAGTTTAAATCGCGCCTATGGGAGCAGACGCTTAAATTTCCTGGCTGACGGTCAAAATTAGGAAAATCAAATTAATGGAGCCGAAAATAATAATTGCCAGACGGGACGCGCAATCTGTTCTGGGCTGCGATGAATTATTCGGCTATAAAAATAAAAATGACGAGGAAAATACGAACTGAGATTGGCTTTTGGGTTTACGGTTTAACGTTGTTTTTATCGACTATAAATTTCTAGTCCCAACAATATGCCGTAAACTTTGAAATTGCTCTCTGATTTCCTATTATCGATAAAAAATTTAAAGTTTGCCTATAGAATATTTCTGCTCTTAGGTTTACCCTACATCCGAATCCTACCGAAAGTAACAGCAGTGGCTGGTGAACAACTAAAACTCAAATGTCCAGTGGCTGGATACCCCATAGAAGAAATTCACTGGGAAAGAAGTGGCAGTGAGCTTCCAAATGGACTAAGGCAAAAAGTACTTCCGGATGGTACACTGATCATAGAGCCGGTACAAAAAAAAGAGGATTCTGGTGTTTATACGTGTTGGGCTAGAAACAAAGGAGGCCAGACTGCAAGAAGAAGTGGAGAAGTTAATGTTATTGGTAAGAATATCATTCATTCTTTTAAAAATTAATGAGTTTATAGTATTTATTAAACAAAAATGTCCTGAAACTGGAGGCCACAGTGGCTACTTGCAGGGTGCCGAGTTCATCTTCAACAAAAACTTCTCACATTACTTAATATATCTAGATTTCTTTACAGGTTCACTACTAGGATCTGAAAACATTTCTAGCCATTCTCAGGGTCTAACAAAAATTATTTTCTAGTACCGCCGAAAATAAGTCCGTTTTACGCAGCGTCGGCAATGCACGTGGGTGACCGAGCGTCTCTAACTTGTTCGGTCACCAAAGGCGACTTGCCTCTTACCATAACTTGGACAAAAGATAACAGGATCCTAAGTCCTGGCAGTTCGGTGTCTATTACCCAAGTCGACCAGTTCACCAGCATTTTAGTTATCGAGAGTCTCTCGCCGGAACACAATGGCAATTATTCCTGCGTGGTGCGCAACGCTGCTGCAGAAGTGGCGCACACGCAACAGCTAGCAGTCAATGGTAATTGTGCCTGATCTGATGATGGATGCTGATTTTGACGGAACGTCGGTTTTGGAGTCTTGATTTTATTTTATTTTTTTAGATATTTTCCTGTTTTTTTTTGTTATGCGGATTGGTTAGTTTTGGTTTTAGATGTATATTTCTAGATTCTGACGACAGTGGAAATCAAAATTAAAAAATCCGCCATTTTCTTCTTTCTATCTATCTCTTTCCTACTCTCAGTGCCGCCAATAATAGAACCGTTCAGCTTTCAAGAGGGTCTCAGCGAGGGTATGCGCACGCGCACCGTTTGCGGTGTTAGCGCAGGTGATCCCCCACTGGCAGTGGCGTGGCTTAAGGACGGCAGACCCCTCACGCCCGAATTAGGGGTGAACGTGACGTCCCTGGACGCATACAGCAGCCTTTTGAGCGTGTCAAGGTAATTTGTCTGGGCAATATTCATATATTTTTTGTTCAAATAAAAGCCCACACAAATTACTTTTACCATTTTTAGCCTCGATTCACGGCACTCAGGGGATTTTACTTGCGTGGCCAGCAATCCTGCAGCGGAAGTCCGGTTTACTGCCAAGCTACAGGTCAAAGGTACCAGTATTTGATAAACGTCCTGTGTAAAAATCCTCGATAAATAATACCCACCAGGTTATTTTAGGATTTATACTCTCACAAGTCATTTGCAAATTACCATTTCTAGAAAAAATCATTTTGAAATAGTTGAGAGAGTGTAAATCCTAAAATAAGAAAATCCTCTCTCACGATTGGCCTTTTAGCCCCTCACCAACTCTTATTATTGCGTTATCGATGTATATTTTTATCATAACTAAGATTGACTTGACACGAATGCAAGAATGCACTATTAAGAAGGGCAAAACGCTAACAAGTTCCACTGCGCTTACTTACGCGCATATCCCTACTAACTTCTGCAAGCTCCGCCTTCTTCAAATACTTATAAATAGCCAGTCACACAAAGTACTTTCATCTTTTGTGTTTGTAAGCCGTTCAGGCAGGAACATCCAACTGAATAGGTACAACGTATATAAGATTATCTCAGAATAAAAATATACATTGACATCGTAATCCTTTTTGTCGCAATATAAAGTACCACCAAATCACGCCATTATCTCACGCACTGCCCACACCGCTTTGGCACCAGCTGTCGCTGACGTCATCGTCCGGGTCCGAATCGTTCTGAAGATAGAACGAGTAAGGCCGAAGGTACCGTTTTTTTGCACCAATTTTTATTTTTGTTATGGTTTTTTGAATCTCTTTTCTTTTTTTTTTATTTTCCGTGAATGTGAATGAGTCCATGAACTGTATTAAGTCTCACTAAGTACTTCTCACTATTAGATTTATAGTGCATGCTTGGGCATGTCTTATTTTGTGTGCTTGCAATACTTTTAAATGTAAAAATCTATAACACGTAATCACAAATATTGCAAAATTAATATTGTAGTCACCATTTGAAAGCAATAACAATTTTATATGTGACTGCACTTATATCACTAAAAAAAATTATGGCACTGTTTGTGATGCTGCAACCATCACAAACTATTTCTAATTAGCTTGTGATTTTTGCACCTAACTTTTAATAAATATATTGAGCAAATATTGATATTTGAAATTTTTAGTCCCGCCAAGATGGTTGGTTGAGCCAGTCGATGTTAGTGTAGAAAGAAATAGACACGTGTCCTTACACTGTCAAGCCCAAGGGGTACCAACGCCCACTGTAATCTGGAAAAAGGCTGCCGGTAAGCCCTTGATACCAAATTAACTCTCTAGGATCATAATGGTACATTTAGGTTCCAAATCGGGCGATTACGAAGAAGTCAGGGACCACATGTATACAAAACTTTTGGGAAATGGTACCTTATTGTTGCAACATGTTAAAGAAGACAGAGAAGGTTATTATTTGTGCCAGGCCGATAATGGAATCGGAACTGGTATTGGCAAAGTTATACAACTAAGAGTTAATTGTAGGTTTTCATTTTTTTTTTTTGTGATACATTATCTGAATGTGATGTTGTAGCTTCTCCGTATTTCTCTGCACCTTCGAGAATGATTACAGTGAAAAAAGGAGATACAGCCTTATTGCATTGTGACGTCAATGGCGATAAACCTATAAGCGTTATATGGCTTAGAGGTGGTAAAGTAGAACTCAATCCGTCTACGAACTATAGGGTGAATGCGAAACAGGACGTCACACCAGACGGAGTAAGTTGCAATAATTATTCATAAGAAGCCTTTTGCTGGTAACTTGCGATTCATACTGTAGCAAAACGCCCCAAGTACTCTATGTAATTAGTTAGATGGTAAATGGCGAGCGGTATATTGATGGTGTTTATTTACTTGGAGCTGCTACCTAAATTCTGTGGAATGGTCTATTTGCAAGAGAGAGAAACAAACTATTGAGGTGTACTAAAATTATATTTTATTATACATAAAACCCAAAAATTTAAATCAGCAAAATATCTTCCAATTCTGACAGCCTCATCTATTTCTATAAATTCAATTACTTCACATCCGTTCTAAAATTGTTATTATTACGGACCACTGAAATACCCCTACTAAATAAGAAACGCCCTATTCCTACTATTCCTAATAACTTATAAGTTAACTCATTTCAATACTTCCGATTCATTCCTAATAAACTACCCTTCACCTAATTATATAAATTCTTAAAAATTTCTAAGTCCTTTACTGGACCTGCTTATGAAAAACCCAAAATAATTACCTATTTGTCTATCAATATAGGTATTACTAATTTATTCTTATAAAACCTTACAATAATTTCTACTTGAAAAATAAAATCCCTAATTCAAAAGTTCATTTCATGAACAACAATTTTCCAATATTTTAAGACAATTCTATTTCATGAACATCAAGTTTCTTTTCAAAATTTCCTATTCCATTCAATAGTTTATTTAATCAGAACAAATTCTATTATTAACAACTTTCCATTATTTTAAGACAGCAATTCTATTTCATGCACATCAAGTTTCTTTTCAAAATTTCCTATTTCAGTTAATAGTTTATCAGAACAAATTCTATTTTCGGATTCCTATGCCTAGCTAATAAACCCAACTGTTTAATTCATAATCCCTACTCAAAATAGTCAAAATTGTATATTGGTTGTATATTGGCCTTCATATTTTTGGTGCAAAATTAAATTAGAATGTCATTATATCTGAAGGCAATTAAAGTTATGCAATAATGTTCCATTTTCAAAACACTCGAGTAATTGATATTTATGCAATAAAGTTCCACAGTTAATTATAAAGTCAAAAGTTTTTCTAGTAAAAATCACTCAAGTTTTTAGGCATTAAAAGTCATTGTTAATTCACTTCCTATCATTCAGAATCATTGATAAAAGTCAGAAAATTACTAAACACTAAAGTACTTACATTTTACTTTGCACACGTAAAATTACTTAATTAATTACTCAAAATTTTTAGCTAGCACGCACATAAATGTTGACGAATTTAATTGTTCTTTCTTGCAAAATTTTTCCGCTACTTTTTGAAAGACTGTTACCAAGGCAATACAAGAAACTTTCCGGACTGACACTTTAGGTACTGTAGATTTTAACTCAAACTGGACAGGACTGCGAACTCATCTCTCAACTGACGACTAACAACTAACAACTGCCTTCCTCTTCTAAAACCGCGGTATTTATATTTTTTGATTCCCCTCCGAAATTTCTGTGTCCATAACAATTAAGATGATGCCATTTCCTTGAAATTTTTGTCATTTTATTAGTTTAAAATCGAATAATTATGTCACAATATCCTGATTTATCGGGGTCAAATACATCTTGGTTCAAGAATGCCATAAATCATTCGATTTAATTACCCTGGCCTCATTTTTATTATTTTTAAGAATTTAATTTAGATGATCACATAGGCTGATGACGAAACACCTAATATAATATTAAACGATAATTTGTTCCCTTTTCAATTTATTGATACTGATTTGGAGATACCGGAAATTCTGTTTTTGATTATTTGACATTTATTAATTTTTTACAGTAAAGACATTGTGATTTATGGGTCTATTTTCTCGGAATATTACAATACAAATGAGTACATCTTAGGATAAACAATTATCAAGCAAAATTTCAATTCTAGGTGGCAGCTGAGTTACAAATCCTAAACGCCGACGCCTCAGATTCCGGCGCCTACTTTTGCCAGGCCAGTAACATGTACGGTAGAGATCAGCAGTTGGTGCAGCTGATGGTACAAGAACCTCCCGGACCACCGCAAAGTCTAGAAGTGATTGTAATTCAGTAAAAGTTACTTTGGATATTTATAAAACATTTTGCAGGTTCCTTCGAAAAGTAGTACATCGGTGAGTTTGAAATGGGGACATAAGGCAAGCGATTCCACTGAAGTTTTCAAATTTATTATCGAGTTTAGAGAAAGTGACCGTAAGTCCTAAGGCTCAAGATAACTGTTTTTATTTCAGTCTTAATGTTTCAGGCAATTGGCATCAAATCGAACTTACCGAAAGTCCATTGCAATATTCAGCAATAATTGACGACTTAAAGCCAGCTACCAAATACAGTTTTAGAATACTGGCCGAAGGTGCTGCAGGTAAGAGTTTGCCCAGTGACGAAATTACCATAACTACGCTCAGCGAAAAACCCGCGGGTGCTCCACTAAACCCCACCGCAAGGCCTATTTCTTCTACGGAAATCTTGGTGGCTTGGATGCCTCCAGTATCGGAATTGAGACACGGAGAAATACAGGGTTATAACATAGGTTATCGTGCCCCTTTTATGGGTTCCTTTAATTTCACTTCTGTAGCCGGAGATGGCGAAGAAGGCGGAGAAATGTTACTCAGTGGCCTTAAAAAGTACACCAGGTATACCATTGTAGTGCAAGCTTATAACGAAGTAGGCGCTGGTCCTTTGAGTGAACAAGTTACAACTGAAACTTTAGAAGATGGTAAGTTTTGGGTTAATATTTTCAATAAAATTATTTTAAAAAAAATTCCAGTTCCTAGTAGTCCTCCTATGGATATTAGATGCACCTCCCCCACATCTCAGAGCATCCAAGTTAGTTGGCAGCCACCGCCTAATGAAGATTGCAACGGGAATATTCACGGTTATAAATTAACTTATGAACCTGTTTTGGATGAAAATTCTTGGGGTAAGGCCATGATACCTAATCTAACAAAAAAATTATTATAATGCTCTTTTAACATCATAGGCAATGACGTAATAGAAACTCGCAAAACCACCGCACTGATAACTGTGATAACAGGCCTTAGAAAATTCACCAACTACAGCCTACAAGTATTAGCATTTACTAAAGTGGGCGATGGTGTTATGTCTTTGCCGCATTTCTGTACAACTGAAGAAGATGGTAAGGATTTGGCTACTGAAAACTTCGCCTAAACCACAAATTTATATTGTAGTTCCTGGTGCTCCAGCTGATATTAAAGTAGCAGCAGCAACGCCACAATCCTTAAGAGTTTCATGGTTGCCACCTCTAGAACCCAACGGGATTATAACCAAATATAATTTATATAGACGAAGTACTGATGGTCGCCAAGAAATCGACAATGGCAAACAAATAATTTCGAGTCACACGACAGCGTTTGAAGTTAAAAACGTTCAACAGCACATGGAGTATCAGTTTTGGGTTACGGCTTCTACTAGAATAGGCGAGGGGCAAAGCTCTAAAGTTGTAAACCAGGTGGTCACCAGCAGAAGTAAACCAAAATTAATTACTTGGGTAAAAGCAATTTTATGATTATTTTTTTTCCAGTTTCAGCAAGGATTATCTCGTTTGGAGGTAACGTCGTCAGGCCTTGGAGAACTTCTGTTGCTTTAAATTGCGAATCTGTTGGATCTCCTAGAAGGGAGTGGTTGAAAAGTGAACAGATCTTGAAGGTAAATCATAACTTGTGTGAATTCTTCACATTTTTTCTGTCATTTATTTAGGGTGGAGCAAGTCACAATCAGCAACTCTTGGACACAGGCGAACTGATTTTATCCAATTTACAACTAACTGACGCTGGAAATTACTCTTGTCAAGTGGATAATGGACACGGGACTGATAGGTAAGCAAAAATGTATTGCGCAACTAAAAAAATCAACATTTTTTTTTCTTTAGAATAACATATTACTTGGTGGTACAAGTACCACCTGGAGCTCCACTATTATATGTGACCTCAGCCACAAGTTCAAGCATTCTATTGCATTGGAAAGCTGGGAAAAACGGAGGGGCGCCTATAAGTGGATTCACACTCAATTATAGGCAAGTCAAATAAAAAAACCTCAACAACTTTCCATTAATTTTCATCATGTTTCTCTAGAAAAGAGCATGGCAATTTGGATGAAATTCATTTATCAAGACACGCTACCAGCTACGAGTTGAAGGTATGTTATTGTTTCTAAAAACTTAACAAATTAAACAATTTTTGGTTTATTTGTAAGGGTCTTTCTTGTGGTTCAACATATCATCTCTACCTCACTGCTTACAACAAAATAGGATCCAGTCCAGCAAGTCATCCCCTTCAGGCTCGTACACAAGGTCATCCGCCAGGAGTACCACCTGCGGCCTCATTTATAGGCCCAAATTCCACAAGCGTTACGTTACGCTTACACGTTTGGCCGGACAATGGTTGTCCGATCATTCATTTTGTTTTACAATACAGGAAAGCGTTGGAGAGTCAATGGACCTTAGGTAAGGATTAATTTTTAGTTGATGCAAAGTTAAATTTACGCACTTTTTCTAGTTTCGAACGCGTTGAAACCCCAAAGACGAACGTCAATTACGGGTTTGACGGCGGCAACCAAGTATGTTGTTAAATTGGAGGCTCACAACGTAGCAGGCTTTAGTACTGAAGAGTTCAGTTTTACCACATTGACTAAAGACGGAGACGTACCACCACCGGTTTTAATAACGCAGGGTAACGAAAGTCAACCGTTTTACGCGGACGTTAAGTTTATCGTGATCGCTGTGATAAGTACTCTGCTGGGTACTATTGTCCTTTTGAGCATACCGGTCCTTATCAGAAAGCGTGAGTACCGTCTCAATATTGCTTGGTAAGTTGTTGAACGATATTTTTTTGCAGATTACAATCAGTCAAACAGGGAGCAATTAGACAATCAACAGAATGCGGAGGCTCAAAGGGAAAGGTATTATGCTACTATACATAAAGTGGCGTTGCAAGCTGGAGAAAAAATACCTGGTGAGCAAATTTTTTTTCATTCATGATGTCTGGTCTAGAAGTGTATGCTTGGTATATCACTGATTAAATCGGTTTTCTATCAGGATCACATCTCATTTGATTCTTTCACATGAGACCGACACCATTGACGTTGAAACGCCTTTATAATCTGCCATGTTAAAAACATCACAGTTTTCTGTAATGCTCTATTTATCTGCATCCCTACTTGCTTACTATGCTCAGAACCTTGACATTCAGTTTCTCCTTTCAGCTCAGTCAATTATACATCATAATATTTCAGAAAATATATTCCAACCATATACTGATCCATTCACTAGAAATGTCCAAATGGCATACAATCTTACATATTGTATATATATGTCGTTTTAGAACGTTTTTCTTCTTTGTCCGACACCTAATTTCCATCCTTTTCTATCGTCGCAATCCTCTGATTAGAGATTTCTTTCACTCCTGGACTTTTGTATGGTCATCTGCCATTCCCGTGTTGGTCTTCCTCGTTTTCTTCTACCTGTTGGTTGCCAATGCAGCATTTTTCTGGGTCACAAAGTATTTGGCATTCGGTCTACGTGTCTGTACCAGGTAAGTTGTTTCCTTTCAATGTCCTGAACTATCGTGCCTTTTATTCCTATTTGTTGTTTTATATAGTAATTCCTCATTCTCTCTCTTCGAGAGATTCGCATGGATCTTCTAATAGCATCCATTTGAACTGCTTCTACTTTCTTCTTTTGTTTGTCTGTAATTCTCCAAGTCTCGGCTCCATATAGAAGGCTACTCTTTATCATTGTCTCGTATATATTGAATTTTCTCCTCTTTGTTATTTCCTTGCTCCATAAGATTCCATTTAGACATCCTATCACTTTCTTAGCTTTAACTATTCGCTTTCCTATTTCATTCCTGTTTCTATTCCGGTGTCGTCTAATGTGATAACCTAGATACTCAGATCATTGCACATTCCTGACATTGCAGAATTTCCTAACCGTCGTCCACTTCCAAGTTTCCGTTTTGGGTGTCTATTAGATATTTTGATTTATGTATAATAACTCTCAGTCGCCATTCTTGGTACTCTTCTATCAGCTTTCTAATCATATATTGCATGTCCTCTTTTTCAGTGGCCATATGACCTGATCATCTGCAAACTGAAGAGTAAACTACTATCCCCTATCATTTAACTCTATACTCATTCCATCCATCTTCCTCTTCCAATTTTTTAGTGCTACTGCTACGTATATTTTCAAAAGCATAGGAGAGATACAACGTCCTTGACGTAGTGCTTTATTCACTATTAATGTGTCTGTGAGTTTTTCACCTATCTTAATTCTTGATTTTGAGTCTTTAAATAGTTCTTTGAGTGCCATTATACAGATTGAAGTTGGATTGTTCTAATACTTTCCATAGTCTGGATACTGGGACTGTATCGTATGTTTTTTGTAGTTCCACAAATGTGAGGTGAATTTCCAAATGTCTAGCAGATCTCTTTTCTATGACTTGTCTTGGGCAAAATACGTTGTCTGTACCTGATCTTCCTACTCTAAATCCGCACTGCTCTTCTTTCTCTTTATAATCTTCCTCAATGAGGTCACGCAGGATTCTACCGTATACTCTGCTTAGTATGCTTGTGACTGATATGCCCTGATAGTTATTACAGTCCAGCTTATTTCCTTTTTTGCGAATGTATGATATAAAAGCCGTTTTCCAGTCTTGTGGATGTCCATTTAGGCATTTCAGAGTATATCTCTTCTGGGCCGCTAGCTTTACCAGACTTAATATTCTTAACAGTCTTTTTTACTGTTTCTTCAGATATCTCAAATACTTCTCCATATAGATACTTCAATATGTCTTGGAGAATCTAATATATATTCTGGTCCACTTCCTTGTAATAGCCCCTTGTAGTGTTCTATCCATTGCGCTGGTTTGATTACCTGGATATTAGCTATATCCTTACCTGGGTTTTTGACATTTCCTCCTGTGTAGGTGTTAATTTCTTCACATTTATTATCCCATGACTCGATCTTAGCTATAGTGATGCACGTTCTTAGTTGTCTTCTTGTGTCTTTATAAACTTCCAGTTCTTGTTAATTTTTTGTTGTTAGCCATTTCAGATATGTTTGCTTCTTCTCTTGGATAATAGCTCTATCTTCTTGTTCCACCAGTATTTCTTGTTTCTATTTTTTTTCTTCGTTCCTATTGCTTCTTGGTTGGCTTCTTAGGAGACTCCTTATAATGTTCTCATAGAGTTTATTGAAGGTACATTCTCCAGGGTTCAATGGTTTGTTGTCGAGTTGTCTTTGATATAGGAATACAGTGCTTTCATCTTAAGACTGTCAAAATTGTATCCACTGTGTCCGTGAATATGGCATTGGTTTTTTGTTCCTCTGGATTCTTGTTCATTCTCCTAAATTGCAACTTTATTTTGGCTTTTACTAAAAAATGCTCTGACCCGCAATTCCTCTTAGGACTTTTACGTCGTTTATCTCTATGTTTGTTTCTTGTTTGCTTATCACATAGCAGCCAATAATGGTTTTTAGGTTACGGGTATTCTGTATCCATGTGTAGCGGTGAAAATCTTTGTGTTTGAAAAATCCGTTGTTTATTCGAAGATGTGTGAACCTTTGGCCATTATCATTGATTATTTCTTGTCCAAATGGTCCTACAACTGGGCTATTGTTCGTTCTTCCATTGAAATTCCCTATCATTATGATTTCTCTATTTTCTTCCAAAATCTACTAAAATTTCATCCAATTTGTCAAAGAACCCCGGCTTAATGCCGACTCTTTCGTCCTCTGATGGAGCGTAGGCTGCTATATTGGTAATGTTATAGCCATGTAGTTTCAAGTTGACCGTTAAAATATTTTCATGTAAAACTTCCCAATTGTTTATTTCATTTTCCCAGTTTTTCCTTATCACTATGAATACTCCTCTAGCTGCTCTCATTTCATTACAATCTTGCAACTGGTGCATACATAGAGCCGAAGTTCTCCTCTTTAATCTGGAGCCCCTAATCGAGCTTTCTCTGACTACTCATCTAGGGTCTGGAATCTCAAAATTCTGCTCAGAACTGTCACCATTAAACTCCCTCTTCGATTTGTATATGTCATACAACTAAACCATCTTTTTTCCCTGCAGATTTACTTGCTCTGAGTGTTTTTCCATTCTTCTTCTCCCTCTCAAGGAAAACAATAACCATGGTATAAGTTTTCTTATTTGTCTTTAAGTCAATCAGCCTCAAAGCCTTTGTACTCTCCCCATAGTTCATAAAAAGTAATTCCTGAGACTTTGGATCTCACTTTTTTCTAAATACATCTGGTACATGGGCACGAATATGTTTTCTGTGATGAGCACCTCACCTTACAACAGTTGTATCCTTGCCCTTTGGTAATGGCTAAGGGCCCAACTGGAATACTTTAACAGTATGTGAATAAGTCTTGATTCTCATTTTTCCTGAAAGCAATAGTGATAGCAAGCTCATTATTCTAACATATACCTGAATAATTATCTTTTTCAGAAACCTCCGAAGACATATCACCATACGCAACATTCCAACTATCAGAACCCAGCACCCTCGCCCAAAACACAATGTTGCACAGTTTCATGTATCACGAGCATCCTATAACTGAAGGCTGTGCCTCGCCGCCTCCATCGAGTTCGGTACAACGAAATTCGCCCTATTATAATATTGTAAGTGCCTCAATTTGTTTCATATTCTTGAGGAATCTTAGGTTATCTCGGTCAAAATTGTTTAAACATTTTTCTTTTGTCTTTAGAACCCGTTAAAAAAGCGAGAATCGCCCTATTACAACATAGTATGTATTGTATAAGAAAGCTTTTAAATCACTGTGTGTGTGTGTGCGTGTGCTTCAGTAATCGGTGCCTTAGCTTAAATTAAGCCACATTATTAGAGCAAAATTTTAGCTAAAGTACATCTTGTCCAAAGTAAATTGTGATCGTTTTTTTGGCTTTTCCTTTAGGGATTTAGCACTCGCTTATCCAAATAATGATATTGACACGTTGCAGCAAAAGTTCCAAAGTACAAAAGGCCACGGTCGACGTAGGGCCAATCGAAAAGACATCGACAGCGACGAGAGCGAATCCGATCAGGAAGCTCTTACCTCTAGTCGGACCGAATCTTCCAATCAGCTCGATTTGAAACACAAAACGCAAGGTAACACTACAACAAAAATACAGATTTTTGTGATAATAATTATATTTTTAGCTTTCGTTTATCATGGCACAGTACAATCGAGTACATCGTCCGATATTTCACCAATGTCCGAACAAAAATCACTGCCAAGACGAAACAGAAATAGGTAAGAAAGATGTGAGTAACTAGTAACTCCAATAACATTATTAAGGTAAACCAAGTATCAAGTGAAAATTTTCGATAGATTCCTAGCCCAAGGAGGTCGATCGGGTTCTCAACGTCACATCCTAAGCCACCTATCGGTAGCCGAAACTGCGTTTAGCGAATCGACAACTCCGACGGGCGGTCAAGGCATCGAATTGTCAGAGGCCGAGTGCGACATCGACACCCTCAAAAAATTGAAGCTGGGCCTGCGCAGTTCGTTGTGGTCGAGACCGCAGGGCGGTCAACAAGGCGGCCAGCAACCGCCCTCCGATTATTCGATCGCTGTCTGAGTACGACGGAGGGCTTTCCTTTTCAACTAAATCTTCCATATGGTGTAGTCAATTCTGATTTTGAGGGTGTCTGCAATATCAGTTTTGAGATTTGACTACACTTTAATTAATAATTAATTTTAAAAAAAAATGCACGAAATCCCATTTGCTTTGTTAGTGAACCTTTCGGATACCTTTGTAAATATATTTTTAACATTAATACTGCCACACAAGAAAAATACATTTTAAGTTGAAGGCGAATGGGGTGGCTTTGTGCATTTAGTAAGCCTAGTGTAATATATCAATTTTTAGTTTTATGGATAAATCAAAATTTTATATGAAAAAAGAATCAAAAATATACAATATATTATGTTACACTGCTGGATGATGAATAAAAAAGGATTCTTGTTTAATTAAACAATCCTTTTTTGTTTGGTTTTTCAGCCAGTGCCTTTGTTATAATTGCCTATATATCTTTGGATAAAAAAATGAAACCGTTTTGGAACTGTTTTCTATGATGATGTATTATAATATTTTTCACTGTTATATAAGACTTGTAAGTCGTGTCGTACCCTCATCATAGCTCAAAAGTAAATATTTATCGGGGCGACCGACTATATAGGTTTGTTTCTGGAGAAATCGCAAAGTATCTAAAGCGATCGAAATCACTACAAATGGTTTGTGATATCTGTAAGAACGAACCTTATACTGTTAAAAGAAAAGATATAGTTAAGCATTTACCGATAAATCAAACAATAAGAATCAAAATTGAAAAAAAAAAAAGGATTCCCTGTACCAGAGTTAAATAGTTCAAAAATAAAGAAGATGGTCTAAATTTGTCGTTTTGTGTTTTCACCTACTGTCGATATTGTCACACGTCTTTGCTGACGATATTGTCACACGAGGTTGCTCTTCAGGACACACAACTAGAAGGCACTTATCGTATATTGCTGCCTAGTGGGTAGATTACCAAAGCGATACTACGAATGTATGCCACATGACTCTTGCGTTTGTGGCTATATATCCCTATACGGGGGTGCAACTGGTTCCCGCACATATATAGCGACGATGCCCTAAAAAGGATTGCTCCAAGACTCTCTGGGGTAAGATGACCCTGAAGAGATGTGTAGCTACTGCTCCCTTGGGTAAGGAGACCCTTAGGAGAGAGATGCGAACCAAAAGGGATTAATGCTACCTACCTATTGCCTGGGGTAAGGAAACCCTGGGAAGAGAAAGACCCGAATGGATGCTGTTATATTTCTTGATTGAGACATAGGCACAGCATAGGTTTTTGTTAAATAATATTGTGAGACCCCAAATTTAGAAACTTGGCAAGATGTTGAATTGGCAAGCGGTGACTTTAGCTTCTGAGTGGAGAAACAGTTTTAAGGGGGTCCTAACACAGAGATATTGTGGTCAATTAAAATAAAGTTTATTTTATCAAAATAAATAAAGGTTGTTATTAAATAACAGGCGTCGGTCATAAATAATCTTACAATAAAATTATTCCATCTCTAATAATAGGCATCAATTAAATGTTAAGGAAAATTTATATGATTCCAAGTAAAATTTTTATTTACAGTTTGACTCGACTCACACTTTCTGGATGAACATAAAAAAACTCTACTTACATACAATAATATATTTACTGCTGGCCACACCTAATTACATGGAATTCTTATTGGTCGAAAGAATTTACTTCAATACTGAACAATTAATAAAAAACTCGAATATTTTCGCGCTGTTATTTCACGTCGTGCTTCTTCTCTCGAAAGAAAAAGGCATCATCCATTTTTATCCAAGAGACCAAAGGCAAGATTTTTGAAGATAACAAAAACAAAGTCACAGTCTCATAATTTATTTGATTAGCTACACGTGTTTCGCTCAATAGAGCATCATCAGGCCTAAAATAAAATAAAGTCACTTAACAAATAATAATTGAGGCAAAAACAACAAAAAAGTACCTTGAAATACACACCCTTAACACACATTAATTAAAAATAAACACTAAAAAGCAAGGTTAGGATACAAACACTGAATAAAATAAAAGAACAAAAAACAAACCGCAATTTATTGGAATTGAACCTGCGATACCCAGGATGCCAGCCCAACACCAGACCCAATGCACCAGCGAGATACTGACAATTCAAAGGCGAGAACAATAACCAATGAACCTCAACAAAACTAAGTGGAACTATAAAATTTCTCAAAATCTAATGCAAAAGGAAGAAAGTTTAATAAAGTTATAATGAACTGAAAGTTAATCCGAAAGGTTGTTAAAAATAAGATGAGGCTCAAAATTGAAAACGTCGTTTACACACACGAGAATGGGGCTCTTTTTGGCTCTGGTTATTTCCATCTTCTCTAGAAGATCGAGCTTTCTGCCCTTAGGGCATTCGTGAAGAATTTCGGCGCCATCAGCTGGAGAGAAATTGTGCGTGGTTGTAAGTAAATGGTTCGCAAACGCAGATCTAGTTTCTGTAATGTCTGTATTTCTATTCTTTTCGGCGAAAGCAACATGCTCTTTAATTCGTGTAGAAATTTTTCTCCCTGACTGGCCAATGTAAACTGCGTTACAATCATCACACTTAAGAGAGTACACCCCTGACTTAGAAAAAACGTCAGCCCTGTCTATTACCCTCACTAGCTGTTTCTTTATACTACTAACAGTTTTGAAGGCTATTCTTAGATTAGGAAGCTTGAAAAATTTAGCTAAATTAAGTGAAATGGATCCAAAAAAAGTCATTGATTTGAAAATCTGTTTGTTGTTCTGCTGATGGAGTAGATTAAAGGTCATCTTGTATTTATTAAGAAATTTAAAATATAATTTGTTTATTGGGTGCATTGGGAATCCATTGTTAAAAGCAATGTGTTTAATAATATTAAGTTCCTTATGAAAAGCCTCTTTGGATAGCGGGATATTGAAGAGTCTATAAAAAAGGGAATTAAAGGAGGCAAATTTATAGGAGTGTGGAGAGTTGGAGGAATATTGGATGACGTTGTCAGTAGTGGTGGGCTTACGATAGATTTCAAATAGCAATTTGTTGTTATCTCTTATGATCAGGATGTCCAGGAAAGCAATGACCTAGTTTTATCAAAGGCGGACAAGGGAAACTGTCTGGTGATTCTGAAGAGGAATGACTATATCAAAAAGGTGTTAGATTTTTTAGAGTCAGATGATTTTCTTACTATAAACAAAGACCCGACTAACGGCTTTTTCACCAAGGTGAAACAAATGCTAGACAAATGCTGTTTAACTCTCGAATTTTTCGAAACTAGGAAAGATAAATTATATCCAATGAATCCTAGAACCCCGACCCTCTATGGACTCCCCAAAATCCATAAGACGGGTTTCCCTATAAGACCGGTTGTGTCATTTACAAATTCTCCATGCTATAATTTATCCGCATGGTTAAATACTGTCTTGAGGCAGGTGACTGGTTTTAAAAGCAACCATTCAACAAAAAATTCTGTAGATTTGACAAAGTTTTTAAAGAACGTTAACTTACCGCAGGGTTCTAAGCTAATATCTTTGGATGTAAAAAACCTATTCCCCAGTATTCCTCCTACAGATTGTGTGGATCTGGTGAGAACACTTCTATTGAAATCATCACTCAGTCGACTCATTGTCGAAGACCTTTTAGCCCTGCTTAGGCTCGTACTCGATCAGAATTTCTTTCAATTCAATAACAAATTTTTTAGACAAGTGAACGGCCTGGCTATGGGCTCTTGTCTCTCCCCCCTCTTGAGTGAGATATTTATGAATCATCTAGAGGAGAAAATTGTCAATGGTAGATTCGGAAACTTTATAACGGTTTATAAAAGATATGTAGACGACATTTTTATGGTATGGACTGGAAATGATCAGGATCTAGCTAACTTCCTTACTTTTGTAAACTCTTTACACCCTAATATTTCTTTTACAATTGAAGAAGAAAAAGATAAACAGCTACCTTTCCTGGACATCCTGATCATAAGAGATAACAACAAATTGCTATTTGAAATCTATCGTAAGCCCACCACTACTGACAACGTCATCCAATATTCCTCCAACTCTCCACACTCCTATAAATTTGCCTCCTTTAATTCCCTTTTTTATAGACTCTTCAATATCCCGCTATCCAAAGAGGCTTTTCATAAGGAACTTAATATTATTAAACACATTGCTTTTAACAATGGATTCCCAATGCACCCAATAAACAAATTATATTTTAAATTTCTTAATAAATACAAGATGACCTTTAATCTACTCCATCAGCAGAACAACAAACAGATTTTCAAATCAATGACTTTTTTTGGATCCATTTCACTTAATTTAGCTAAATTTTTCAAGCTTCCTAATCTAAGAATAGCCTTCAAAACTGTTAGTAGTATAAAGAAACAGCTAGTGAGGGTAATAGACAGGGCTGACGTTTTTTCTAAGTCAGGGGTGTACTCTCTTAAGTGTGATGATTGTAACGCAGTTTACATTGGCCAGTCAGGGAGAAAAATTTCTACACGAATTAAAGAGCATGTTGCTTTCGCCGAAAAGAATAGAAATACAGACATTACAGAAACTAGATCTGCGTTTGCGAACCATTTACTTACAACCACGCACAATTTCTCTCCAGCTGATGGCGCCGAAATTCTTCACGAATGCCCTAAGGGCAGAAAGCTCGATCTTCTAGAGAAGATGGAAATAACCAGAGCCAAAAAGAGCCCCATTCTCGTGTGTGTAAACGACGTTTTCAATTTTGAGCCTCATCTTATTTTTAACAACCTTTCGGATTAACTTTCAGTTCATTATAACTTTATTAAACTTTCTTCCTTTTGCATTAGATTTTGAGAAATTTTATAGTTCCACTTAGTTTTGTTGAGGTTCATTGGTTATTGTTCTCGCCTTTGAATTGTCAGTATCTCGCTGGTGCATTGGGTCTGGTGTTGGGCTGGCATCCTGGGTATCGCAGGTTCAATTCCAATAAATTGCGGTTTGTTTTTTGTTCTTTTATTTTATTCAGTGTTTGTATCCTAACCTTGCTTTTTAGTGTTTATTTTTAATTAATGTGTGTTAAGGGTGTGTATTTCAAGGTACTTTTTTGTTGTTTTTGCCTCAATTATTATTTGTTAAGTGACTTTATTTTATTTTAGGCCTGATGATGCTCTATTGAGCGAAACACGTGTAGCTAATCAAATAAATTATGAGACTGTGACTTTGTTTTTGTTATCTTCAAAAATCTTCTTCTCTCGGTTAATTCGACAACTCTTTCACGCCGTAGTTCTGACTTTCTGGACACAGGATTCTCGATTACTACTTGTTTCTTGATTACTCAACCGAATACTGGTTTAAAGACGTAGCTCTACTCGTTTACTCGCTGTTTCTCGAACACTGATTTTCTCCTGCCAAAGTTGCCTGTTTAAATCATTGGTCCCTCCATTGTCTTGAATTTCTTTGTTTTTTCTGACCTCGATTTTTCGTGCTTGAATCATCCGATCAATTAGTGTATTTGTTCCTCTTTCAATTAATTATCAAGGGCGTCGCTAAGTGGTTTGTTAAGTGGGTATCATCATATAGGCTCGTGCGTGATTTATTGATCCTTCTAGGAATTCGGTTCCTTTGAAATGTTAATTGATGAAAGCACTTTAAAAAGGTCCATGAACTTTTGTTTTATTCACATCCCAATGTATGTCAATTATTTTGTTTAATTCCTATTGGCTGGTCATTCTTGAGAGGAAAGGTATCGGCTTTCAATAATTTCTGGATATCGATGTTCAGATAAATTTTAATTGAAGTTTCTGGTTGTGCTATCTGAGTG